CCCCCGTTAAATTACCGTATGAATTAATTGTGATTGACAACATTTCTTTTGGGAAAAACTGAGTCCAATTTCACTACCCAAACCCAGGCCTGATTACTGCCAGAACTGTTGAATCAAGAAATTACCTAAGTAGAAACTGTCCGACAAAGTGAAGTAGATTAAAAGATTAAAAAAAAAACAAACAAAAAACCATCATGCCACTAAAGAAACAAAATCACTGACATCTATCAGTTTGTAAAAGGTTACGAAGCTATTTCTCAGGCTTTGGGACTCCAGTGAACCACGATGTAAGCCTCACAAATGGAGAAAACTTGCAACAGTGGTGAACCTTCCCAGGAGTGTTGGGCTGACTAAAATTATTCCAAGAATCAGGAAGTCACAAAAGAACCCAGAACAACATCTAATGCACTGCAGACATCTCTTGCTTCAGTTAAAGCCATTGTTTATGATTCAACAAAAAGAAAGACGCTGGGTAAAATGGCATGCATGGGACATTTCCAAAGCAAAATCTTTTGGGAAAAAATTCTGTGGACTGACAAACCAAATACCTTTTGGACATTCTGGAAGTTTTGAGTCCCTTTACATCTGGCACAAAACCAACACAGCATTTCATAAAAAGAACATCATACCAGCCGTGGTTGTAGTGTGTTTTCCTGCTTTAGGACAACTTGCTGTAATTGCTGGAGCCATAACTTCTGCTCTCTACCAGTTCATGCCCTGAAGCTGAAGCGCACTTGGGTTATGGAGCAGGACAATAATCCAAAACACACCAAAAGATGAAGGTTTTAGAGTGGCCTTGTCAAAGTCTGTACTTAAATCAGACTGATTTTTGGCATGATCTTAAACCTTCCTGGGTGGAAGAATTAAAACAATTCTGAAAAGAATAGTAGACCAAAATTCCTCCACACTGATGTGAAAGACTCATCCCCAGTTATCAAAAACACTTGATTGCCCAGGATCTTGCAACCAGGTGTCGGGTCTAGTGAGCAGCTGCTTTTTCACACAGGGCCAGGTAAGTTTGGATAACTTTTTATTTAAACAAATGAAACCATAATTTAAAAACTGCTTTTTGTGTTCACTTGGGTTATCTTTGTCTAATATTAAATTTCGATTGATGATCAAGTATCAAGCATGTAAATGTGGCAAATATGTAAAAAACAAGAACAACCTAAGAAATCAGGAGGGGTGGGCAAATGTGTAAATGGGAAAGATTCACAAATTTCCTAAATACGGATGTTGTGAAAATCCACAAGGAAAAAAACAAAACGCTCCAATCTTCAAATTGTTAAATGACAGCTGGAATGATGTCTGATTATGTAAATAACTGCTCAGAGGGGAAATGTGGTAAGAGAGTCGAGGAAGGTGATTAGAGCATCATGGATAGTTAACTTCAAGAATGAGGGAGAGGAACTGCTCAAGATTTATGGTCCAGGAGTCTGCTGCAAAGTGTAAAGGGGCCTGCAAGAGCGCCTTTATGGCTTCAAATTCGGGGAAATGAAACACACATTTACTTCACCCCATATTTGGTGCAGACTTTGGAGAGAGAGAGAGCGAGATAGACCTAATTGGAATCATGCGGCGCTATAATTGAAGAACGATAACTTGTGCATTATCAGTAAGCAAGTAAGTAATTTACCTTTATCTTGTTGAAAGGCTGATTCTCCAGACATGGTTTAAACACAGTGGGAGGCAGTATGAGGTCTATTACACCAAAATAGTTCATATGCTTTCTAAGATGCCAGCAGTACCACTAATAATCCACTTACTCGTTTCACGGTGACATATTTGAAAATGTTCCCTTCTAAAGTCCTGTCAAAGCTCGATTTAATTACCTATAATTTTGAGCCTGGTGTAGAGTCTCTTATTAGCTTCATCTTTCTAGCCGATACCCCTTGTCAAAAATGGAAATGTGCATATCCTATATACCTCCTTAAATAGCTGCACCCGGCTCTGGCAAATCTTTCATCTCGGCAGAAGATGCACAAAAAGATACCACGACTCCCAAAAGTTTCACAAAATAACTCGTGTGCTGGAATAAACTCAGGCTGTCATCCACTTCAGAGAGAAACAGCGTGGCGAGGATTTGTTGATGCCACTGACATTAGCCTTATTGAAAGGACAGCTGTGGAAGGCGGGTGACAAGTCTTAAAGCGGTTTTGTTGGAGGGGAGGATTAAAAATAGATTACACTTGAAAATACAGCTTCTTCCACAACTGCATGTGAAGGCTCACGCAGTGTCAGCGGAACACTGTGTTTATTTCAGTATGAGGCAGGCAAGTCCCTACTGAGGGACATCAAATTGTCTGGAATATGACTCAAAGTGACACTGATGAGGGGGGGCATTGGTGTCTCCTCTCAAATCCGCAAACAGCCGCCGAGTCCCACCGCACAGTTTGCCTTGAACAACAGCTGAGATAAGTATTCCTTATCGGCTTAGTTCGGGGTGTCGTGATTCTAAAACAAACCTCATTATCAGCTTGCAGGGGAGGAAAGAGCAAAACAAGCCATCTGGTCATGAAGAATAGGCCACACTTAGCTGCTTTTTCTTGTTCTCATTTCATATCTTCCTGATTATCGCCTCGCACTGCTGTGTTAGCAAGAAATGTGGATGGGAAGGCTGATAGAAGGGGAAAATGATGCATAGTCACAAACAAAGCCTGGTTGCTTTTTTGTGACCTAAGTTTTGCAGAGCTTAGCCTGCAGACGCCCATAGCCTAACACTTCGCAGATCTGTATTATTCATGCGTGTCGCCTTGTCGTCCACACAAAACTGTAAATAACCATGTGTATTTCATTGTCTCTGTGCAGTAACACTTAATAATTTAGCACTTTCCCTCACGCGATAAAAGACTAGATGGCCTAAATTCAAACCAGGTGTTGACAACGTGCAGCTGTGCCCGAACGCCTATCAATTCTTCTGTTTTTACCCACATCTTCACATCCATCTATCCCACTGAGCAGGAGTGGGTGTCCAATGCTAAACAGGAACAGAGCTCTGAAGTTGCACTGCTAAAGGCAGAGACGAAGAAGAAGAAGGAGAACCCCTGGTATGCTGGAAGAATGTGCACGACATGCTGTCATCCGCCTTTCCGCTGACTGCTGCTGAATTATCTGCACTGACCTGACACATACTGATGCTCAAATGGGAGGGAGCTGAAAAGCATAAATGCCGCTTCCCCTAAAATAACCACCAGTTCCCATGTTATCCCATAACACACACACACACACACACACACACACACACACACACACACACACACACACACACACACACAGACACGGAAAACCACTATTTGACAAGAGTAGGTCGT